TTCACGACGCGAACCGAAGAGTTGAACACGGCCGAATAGCGAGCCCCATTCTGCGAGCTGCCTCGGAGGAGATGAATCCATCAGCCGTGCCCTTGCAGTCAGCACCGGAATCGATAAGTGCGCTGCAAGGCGTTTGGCATAAGAATGCGCCAAAAATCATGGACTGTGAGGAGCCAATACTGTTCAGCTGAACCTCTTTAGCTGGCGGGTCATACCAAAGCTGGATAGGCCACGGGATACCGGGCATTTCCTGACGACTACCATCGTCTGCTTTCTCTAAGAACAGTTTCGTCCCTACGGCATATGTTTTTAGCAGCTGGTGTCCTGCCGCTCGCATGCGTCTTTCAATTTGAGACCATTTCGGTACTACAAAAACCGCTGAAGTGGTTTCGGGACGCATACGCTTGCAGCGCAGGTAATGCTTATGCCAAAGTTCAATTTTTGTGTATGGGGGATTTGCCCAGACAAACTCGCCAGAGACATCGGAGGTCAAGAACGAATTTGAAGGGGAGGCAAAGCGTGTACAAAGACTATTGTCGCCAGAGTTGTTACAAGCAGCGTCAAAGGTGAACTGCCGTCCCAACATGTTCTCCACGTTACGAAACTCGTCCGGGAGGTACATGTGATCACAGCTAAGCGGATCACAAACGGGCAACAAGGACTCTCTGATTTGCAAGTTAGCGGAGTCCTTAGGACATTCCGGTTGCTCACAGCCCCCAACAACACGCTTGCCGACCCGCTAATCAGCCATGGCATTCTCCATCTTCGCGGCAAGGGACAGCGTCTTCTCGGCGTTAGCCTTGAGGTGTCGAATGCAGTCGGGCTTGTGCTCCGCCCAGCTCTGGTGGGCGGGCTTCACGCGACGGCATTTGCGGCAAGTGTGTGCCGCCAGCTGTTCTTGCTCCAGACGCGCCTTCTTGGGCCGATTGGCGGGTTGCCAACCCTGCGAATTGCGATCAGAGGACGAACGCTTAAATTTATTGAAGGGCTTTTTAGCAGTGATCGCATTAAGGTCAGCGCTAACTGCATGGACGGTAGGCTTGTCTTTGCCCGACTGCCACCGAACCTCTTGCCCAACAGCGTAAAGGATTAGCTTATCTAAGCTGTCCCAATCTTTGCCCTCTTCGCTTGTCGCACACCGGCTGCGCAAAGGTGGTAGTAACCCCTTAACGTACCAGCCGATTTGATCGCTAGGGTTCATATCTTTCGCTTCACGAATTATATCGTGAAAA